AGTCCAGCCTTCATCATCGAAGTTTGTTTCTCTTATTTTCCTCGTGTTTTTATGTCTTTGACTAAATTTTTTTTTGCTTGTTTCTTTTTCTAACGCAGGGTCTCTTGTAGGCCAGGCTGGCCTTGACATCCCTGTGTAATAGAAGATAACCTTGAACTCCGTATCCTCTGGCCTCCACCTCCCGAGTGCTGGGAGTAACCAAATTTATCCTTTCAAACTGAAAGCTTTCTGTTTTGAGACAGGGTCTCTTGTAGCCCAGGCTAGCCTCAAACTCATTGTGAAGCTGAGGATGACCCTGAACTCCTGGTCCTCATGTCTCCCTTCCTGGTCGTGGGGATTGTGCCCACAAGCTGGGCCTTTTCTATCTTTCTGTTTTGAGACAGGGCCCCATTAGTTGCCCAGGCTAGCCCTGAAGTCCCTCTGCAACCTCAGCCTCATGAACTGATGGGATTTCAGGCCTGGCTTCGGGAACAGAGCGTGAGCCCTGTTGTCCGCCACCCACCCACGCCTTGGACCCCAGCCAGTTTGCAGCTGCGGCTCCCTGCTGAAAGGGCTGGAATGAGAACACAACTGGGTGATCCCATAAACCTCCAGAGATACACAGTGAGGCGCCTGGGAGACATATTCGTACTAATTAATTAGTACGAATTAGATAATAGTCGGGCGGAACATTGTAACACCGGCTAGGCTTTTATGAGGGCTGCTGGTGCCAGGCACCCCACGTGGCAGGCTCCGGGGTTTCACTCCTACTTACTGGGTGATTCTGAGAAGCACAAAGAAAAGGGAAGCCAGGCCTCTGTGTTGACTCAGAGGCAGGTGCTGCACACCCCACACCCTTCAGGCCATGCCACCGGTCAGTGGGACAAGTGTCTTCCACAGCCTCCTCATCACATTTTATTCCTTTTATTCTCTTCCCCAGGCTGTCCTGAAGCTCAGCTATGTTACTGAGGCTAATTTGACCTCAGAGCTTGTGCTCTCTCCTCAGGCTGGAAACCAGACTTCCTATTCTACCCACTGAACTACAGCCCCAGTATTTTTATTTATTTATTTACTTACTTACTTATTGATTTTTGTTTGTTTGTTTTGGTTCTTTCGAGACAGGCTTTCTCTGCGGCTTTGGAGGCAGTCCTGGAACTTGCTCTTGTAGACCAGGCTGGTCTCGAATTCACAGAGATCCGCCTGCCTCTGCTTCTGCCTCCCGAGTTTTATTTTTAAGTGAAGGGTCTCACACCATAGCGCAGTCTGACCTGGACCTCAGCTCCTGTGCTGGGATGATGTGTCTCCATTACCACACAGAGCCTTCCCCCAGGGATATCACCCTGGTTCTGAACCCCTAAGTCCCAAATGAGACTGTTCCCTCCTTTGCCTAAGAGTCTCTGTGCTCCCAACAACATATGTCAAAAGTGACCAAGGCATCAAGGCCACTATTTTAATCCCAGAACTTGGGAGGCAGAGGCAGTCAGACCTCTGAATTTGAGGCCAGCCTGGTTTAGAGAGTGAGTTCCAAGACACTGAGGGCTACACAGAGAAAACCTGTCTCAAATAAATAAATATATAAAGCCTTCCATTCCAGTTCTAGAGAGGTGGAGGCAGGAGGGGCTGTTTCAGGCTCCTCTTGGGAGGTGACCTGGCCTGGGTTGGACAGCAGATAACAGGCAGCTCTGTAGCTCTTGGCCTGAGGGAATTAAAAGATAGGGAGAGATAAGGAAAGATAGGGCACTAGCAATAGGGGTGACTTTTTTCACTCCATGGGTCAGTCTCTCACAGAGAATGTCCGCCTCAGGCTGGCATGGAATTCTCAGCACTTCACAAATATGGCAACTGAGGCTCGGCCAGGTCATTGGCTGGAGGGCAGGAACCTGGGCACAGACAACAGGGTGACCACTCTGAGTGACTGTTTAACTACTGATACCTGGGGTTTAATTTCTACTCCTGTCCTTTTCATTAACCAAGTCCTCGGACACCCTAGAGGCCTCTATTTGCTGACAAGGTCCCCTGCAGTAACCCACGTGGACCTCAAACTCCCTCTGTAGCCCAGGAACTTCTGACCTCCCGAACACTGGGAAGAAGGCGATGAACCCTTAGCCAACACGTCCCGTTTATTTAGTTGCTGGAGACAGAACCCAAGGCTTAAGCTGGGACAACTCTCTAGCTACTGAGCTATGGCCCTAGCCTCCGGGTGGCCTGTAACTCCCTTCATACCCAAGACACACTCCTGCCTCTCCATCAAGTGCTGGGGCAACAAGCCTGGGCCAATGCACTCAGCCCCAGCAGCCTCCTGGAGCTGACTCAGCAGCAATGGGGTGTCTCTGGGTTTCTTTGGCATTTTGAATTCAGCTCAGATCTCCCTGCATCAACTCTCTATCCCACCTCCTTCCCAAGCCTCCCTGGTTGGAGAAGTCATCAGGAAGCTGGTCCATGGACAGGCTGGGAGCTGAGTGTGGCAGAGGACATTGGAGTGCCGCGGCAGGTTTGAGAGAAGGGCCTTCCGGGTCAGACACAATCAAAGCTGGACTACCCCCAGGATGTGGGCTCTCTCCATCCAGGGAAGACAATGCCAGATAAAGAGCCTGACAGAGGGGGATGGGCTCTGTCTAAATTCTTCATGAATGAAAAGGCTTTGGAATCAGGCAAAGGTCAAAAAAGACCAGTTAACAGGAAGGACTCATGGACCCTTAGGGTGGGGAGCATGGGCTGGGACTCCAAACAGTCCCTGACAGCCTTTGATGTCCCTCCAGCGTCTGGCAGCCCTGGACACCAAGCCCACGCTTCCATCCATCCACTGGGCATCAGATATCCTAGTGGCTGGAGTCCAGCCTTGAGGCGTGGGGGGGCGGCTTTGATGCAGGGGCGCCAGATCTGCTGACCAGCAGGGAGGGGGGATTTCCAAGTCTGTTAGTAAGGTTCTGAGGTCTGAGGGTGGCTGGAGGGGAAGGTGAGGAGGTGTCAGGGCCAACAGGCCTCAGTTTCCTTCCATGTTCAACAAGGAAGAGAGCAGCCTCGTGGGGGTTTGGTCGTGTGTGTGTGTGTGTGTGTGTGTGTGTGTGTGTGTGTGTGTTTGGTTGGAGACAGGGTTTCCCTATGTAGCCCTGGCTGTCCTGGAACTCACTCTGTAGTCCAGGCTGGACTCAAACTCAGAGATCTGCTGCCTCTATTTCCCAAGTGCTGTGATTGGTGTAGACCTCTTTCAAGTTTTAAGAAACCATTGTTTGTTTGGTGTGATAAACTAGTAGGGCTGGGGCCCAGGGCCTCAGCTTGCAAAGAGAATGTTCCACTGCTGAGCTCTGTCTCCAGACTGGGAGGGGGCTGTCAGGGGCTCTGTGTTACATGGGTTGGTCAAACAAAGATGATCACTCCAGAATGTACTTTTAGACTCTCTGTCATCAGGGAGGAACAGTTTCTGTGAACTGAACCTCAAACCTCTTTTCAGAAACATTTATTGGTTATGCACAAGGTTTGGGGCACAAGTCCCTAATACCAAGGCCCCTTTGATCTATATGTTCTCTGAACGAAACCATCATGACTCCACAAGCTTTAGTTGTTATTATGTACTGTGTGCAGTACCCAATAATTCAAGACCTCCAAGAGTGTCTGGATAGTCATGTGACCACAGTCATGCAACAGATGGAAAATCTCCTCAAAAAACAACTCTATAAATCACAGAAAACGCCAGGTGGTAGTGGTGCACTCCTTTAATCCCAGCACTCAGGAGGCAGAGACAGGTGGATCTCTGAGTTCCAGGCCAGCCTGGTCTATAGGGTGAGTTCCACGACAGGTTCCAAAGCAACACAGAAAAATCCTATCTCGAAAAACAAACAAAAACAACAAACAAATAAATCATAGAAAACAATCACAGTTATCTAATTTCTTCAAAGTCTATGTACCTTCAACAAGCACTGATACATTCAATAGTTACCCTATGCAGTGAAAAACAACTGTAACATTCTAATGCTTACCTTAGATACAATGTCTACTAGATTCCCACTACTCTGGGTAATTTAGGGAGACCCTGAATCAAAAAAATTTTTAAATTAATTTATTATGTATATAACATTCTGCTTCCATGTATATCTGCACACCAGAAGAGGGCACCAGATCTCATTATTACAGATGGTTGTGAGCCACCATGTGGTTGCTGGGAATTAAACTCAGGACCTCTGGAAGAGCAGTCGGCGCTCTTAACCTCTGAGCCATCTCTCCAGCCCCCTGAATCAAAATTTTAGAAAAAAGAGCTGGGGCAGGGTCTAGTGAGTACACTATTTATTTATTTATTTAGGTTTTTCGAGACAGGATTTCTTGGGAGGTCTGAGCCATACCCAGACCTCAGACCTCTTTTTGTTTGTTTGTTTGTTTGTTTTTCGAGACAGGGTTTATCTGTGTATCTTTGGAGCCTATCCTGGAACTCACTCTTGTAGACCAGGGTGGTCTCAAACTCACAGAGATCCACCTGCCTCTGCCTCCCCAGTGCTGGGATTAAAGGCGAGCGACACCACTGCCTGGCTTGTGGAGCACACCATTAATTCCAGCATCCCATAGAGGCAGGTGGATCTCAATGAGTTCCAGAACAACCAGGTCTACACAGTGAGGTCCTGTCTAAAAAAAGGGGGTTTAAATTTAAAAGCAACAAAAAAAAAAAAAAAAAAGAGAGGCCTCACCAGGGATTGGTGGCACACGTGTTTAATCCCAGCCCTCGGGAGGCAGAGGCAGGAGGACCTCTGTGAGGTCAAGACCACCCTGGTCTACAGAGTGAGTTCCAGGACAGCCTCCAAAGCTACAGAGAGAAACCCTGTCTCGAAAAACAAACAAAAAAGAGACATCTGAGGTCTGGGTATGGCTCAGACCCCCAAGAATCCCCCAGTGAGGGGCTGGGGGAGTGGCTTATGGATAGAAAGCCTACCTAGTCTCAGCAAGGTCCTGGGTTCCAATCCCAGCAAAAACAAAAATAGAAAATTTAGAACAGACATGCGGACACATATGAGCATCAAGGAAGCAGGGCAGCACGTTCTATATGGACAACCTGATCTGCACAACTACTTCTCCCTAAAGTACACCCCCTTCAGGAACAGCTTCCCACATCCACAGTGCATGCCTTCTGCTTCACAGGTGGCTTAGAAACACCATAGACTGGCACCTGAGTTATCTTTTATTTATTTTTTAAATTATATGTTTGAAAGGTCTCACTATTGTCACAGGCTGGACAGGAACTCACAGAGATTCCCGCTCCCTCCAGAGTGCTGGGGTTGAAGATAGGAGCAACCACGGGAAACCAAGCTCACACCAGCTCTGAAGGCTGAATGCTCCATGCTGGGTGATGATGGCCAGGCTGGCTCCTCCTCTCCTGATTCTGAGCCCAGGTGACCCCTGGCTGGTAGAAGCCTGTCTCTGCCCTGTGTTCTGACCTCACACTGGCTGTCTGCCAGTGTCTCCAAGCGATGCACTTCACTGCTGTCGCAGGAAGCCCAAATTTGATCAAGCCCAACCTCATCTTACGGAGTGCAGTCTGCACAGCTTCCCGTTCCTGGGCGGTGGGGCTGGGGTGGTGGAGGGTGGAGGAGGGACGGACAGGGATGGGACAGGACACAGGATGACAACCACATGACTCAGAATTCTCCAGCCTGTGAGTTTGGGGTAGTCACTCGCACCTGCCATTGAGGCAGAAGTATAAACAACATGCCAGTATCTGTGCGAGTCTGTGTGGTCCCATAGAAACATGCCATAATCACCGTGTGTCTAATGAGTCATCAGCATTGTGATTAGTCTAATGTTACATCATTACAGGGTTTGTGGTTCAGTTTACTGCAGTATGGGAGGATGGCGCTCAAGACCCAGCGCAGGATGGAAACACCCTAACCACACACCAGCTCATCACTGGGTGCTTCTGGACAGGGCTCCACTCTGACCACGGCCCTAACCTTCAGTATGGATACCAGGTATCAAACTGGAAAAGCAGTATATGATCTATGCTCACCCCCCCCAAGGGTTTCTCTGTGGCTTTGGAGCCTGTCCTGGAACTCGATCTTGTAGACCAGGCTGGTCTTGAACTCACAGAGATCCGCCTGCCTCTGCCTCCCGAGTGCTGGGATTTAGGCATGAGCCACCAATGCCCGGCTTCTTTCTTTCTTTTTTTTTTTAAGATTGCCTTATTATTTTGTGTTTATGAGTATTTTTCCCATATGTATGTCTGTGTACCAGGCCTCATGTCCAGGAAGGTCAAAAGAGAGATACCCTGGGATTGGAGTTACAGATCGCTTTTTAGCAGACTAGTGGTGCTGGGAATCAAACCCTGTTCCTCTGCAAGAGAAACTGGCACTCTGAGCGACAGAGGCAACTCTCCAATCCTCTTCTTCACTTTGTCTTTGACTGTGGAAATTATAGAACACTAGAGTGAAAATCACATTTGGCAACCAAGGTGTATAATGTCCTCTGTCTTTTCTAATCAAATAATGGCGATCAACTTCAAATTCTTGGATTCCTCCTCCACTGGTCCCTTTGCCAGCTGAGTCAGCTCACCAGTCCACCACTGTACTGCAAAACGCCATGTTTCTGAGGTGTCTGTTGAATCGCCTCCCAGCCTGTTAGTCCTGCTGTAGTTCAACGTATGCTTGTTCAGAGAGTAAAATCAAAGCACTACGGGAAGGCAAATCAGCCTCCTAAGGTCAAGGAATACACGACCAGCTCCCAGTCTCCTTTTATAAAGCATTGCTCATTTGTTTTATTGTGTGGGGCAGGGTTGCATATGTCACAGGAGCTCAGAGGACAACTTGAGGGACTTGGTTCTCTCTCTCTCTCTTTTTAATTTTTTATTTTTTTTTCTGAGACAACGTTTCTCTGTGTAGCTCTCGCTGTCCTGGAACTCGCTCTGTAGACCAGGCTGGCTTTGACCTCTGAGATCCACCTGCCTCTGCCTCCGGAGTGCTGGGATTAAAGGTGTGCGCCACCAATGCCCAGCATGCATTCGTGTTTTGTCTGCGGGTGTGTCAGCGTGAGGATATCAAGAGCCCCTGAAACTGGAGTCACAGAGAGTTGTGAGCTGCCATGTGGTTACCGGGAACTGAACTCAGGTCCTCTGGAAGAGCAGTCCGTGCTGCTCTTAACAAGCAGTGATCCATCTCTCCCCTTATTATTTTATTTATTTATCTGCCACCGCTCCTGTTCCCACTTTCCACCTTGTGAGTTCCATACTCATGTTGTCCACTAGGTGGCAAGCTCCTTCAAGCGCTGTGCCATCTCCCCACCTCATTTTTTTTTCCCAATGTGGTAAGAAAAAGTACTCCTTGCCCTTCTGCAGTGGGCTGCCTCTTTGGAACTTAACTCCTTTTTCGGAAGCCTACTAATAGTGTCTCCTCTATCGAGGACTCTGGCCATCACTCCCGCATCTAAGCTCCCTGGTCAGCATGGGGACTGCTGGCCCTTTAAGAAGCTCTGCCCGTAGTGAGTAGCCAATCGCCTCCGATTGGTCCCGAGCGCGTCCGAGCACAGCCGAACTTGACGCACCCGCCCGCAACCTGCCCGACGCGCCTCCCACTAGGCTCCGCAGCTTTTTAGCCAATCACCGCCGGGCGCGCCGAGCTGATCTGCATGACCTCGCCCCTCGTGGAGTCCTTGGCCAATTGGAGCCCAAGTTCTACCCTCATTAGCATATGGGAGGGGCGGCCGCGGGCGCTTGGTT